ACGTGGGGCTCGATCCCAGGACCCTGGGATCATGACCTGAGCCGAAGGCAGATGCTTAACGACTGAGCCACCCAGGCGCCCCTTTTTCTTTTTTTTTTTTCTTTTTTTTTTTTTCCCCTGGAAAGATTTTTAAGTGCTAAGATTCAGTGCTAGTGAAGACAGGCAATCACTATTAGCGCACCTTTTCTAGAATAGAAGGTAGTAGAATATATCGGGAGTTTCAAACATTTTGCACCCATTGTTCAGGGATTCCACTCCATTGAGGAAATAATTATATTTTTAGGACATAGTTAAAAGTTTGAAGTATCCTGTGCAAAAATCTTTATGCAGATAGGTTTCATAAGCTTATTTAAAATAGAGTTTGGTTAAATGAATTACTAATTGCCACATAATGAAAGGTTTTATAACTCTTAAGGACTATGTTTCTGAAGAATTTTAGGGACATAAAAACACTCATTTAACGCTAAGTGAAAATAGACAAATGCGATGCTAGAAATACCAAATGATCCCAGCTATATTTCTAAAAATAATTCCAAAGAGGTATGTCTATGAATGTTACCAGTTTTTTTTTCTAGGTTGTAAGATTTGGATAATTGTCTCTATTTCCAAAGTAAAAAAAAATTTAAAAAGCACATTTGGCATGAATGTACTTTGGTAAAAGTAGTTAGGTGTCCTATGGAAGCCCCCTTTAAACCAAACATAAAATATTGGGATGAAACAGTGAAACAGGTTACACTTCTCAAAGTTTTGCATATTTATGTTTAACTTCAATTTACTACTTCTGCACGCAGGGATTATTGGGTTATCTTTTCTTTATTGAACTATGTGGGCTTTGGAGTTAAGTGTGGTCCATGTCCTGCCTCTGTCCTCCCCCCCATCCTGGCTGTTTTACCTGGATTAAATCACCTTACTGTTCTGACCCTCAGTTTCCTCCTCGGGAAAATGCATATAGTGATGCCCCTGTCGGAGGGTTGAAGTCAGACTAAATGCTGCTTGTAAAGCATGTAGCATGTGTAGGTACTTAACTTATTTGTAAGCAGTCTCCACTGTACTAAATGCAAGATTTGCACTAAATCTGTATTTAAATATTTTACCACTCTTATCTGTTAAGCATATATTTATCCAGCAGCTGTTGTATGCAGGCTCTAAGTGTTTAGCTGCAGTGGTGAGCAAGGCATACACAGATTCTACACTCTGAAGCTGTCAGCATGTCTGAGGAAACAAAGATGAAATCATCATTTAACCCCGAAGCACCAAAGAAGAAATATCTGAGAAGTTGGGTAACCTTAGTTTTCCCTTGGTCTTTCTTTTATCTCCTTAGGAAATTAAGTGTTAAGTCCATTACAAACCCTCGTTACCTGGACAGCCTGGGGAACCCGTCGGTGAACGGCCTGTACGATTTAGCTTTGGGCCCTGCGGATTCCAAAGAGGTGTGCTCCACCTGCGTGCAGGACTTCAACAACTGCTCTGGCCACCTGGGCCACATTGAGCTTCCGCTCACGGTGTACAACCCTCTCCTCTTTGATGTACGTTCTGCCCTGGGCTGCTCTGTCTGTGTGGGGTTCGGGGCTGCTGGTGGCATTTGTGAGTGCCACCCCTGGCCTCACGAGAGGTGTCCAAGGAAGTTAGCTCTAGCCACAGAGTTAAAGTGCTCTCTACCATGAGATTTAAAACCTTGAGGAGCCAAATCCAGTAAATCCAACTGGCCCTATAGCCCTAACTAAATGAATTTCAGTTTGATTCCAGTTGAGAAGAACCACAGCTTGGTTCTGTTCACAAGGGAAAAAGCATTGGAATTCATCCCCTACACCTGAGATTTCAGGGCCTTCATGTCCTTCAGAAATCTGGGCAAAGCCTCCCTGACAATAGGACTTCTGGAGTTCTCCAAGCCTTCCCTGAGCTCTTCTAATGAATTTGTAGGCTTTTGCTTGGTTGCAAGAAGAGCAAAGCCCAGAAGGCCAGACAGTGAGCTAAGTATGAGGCTTCTGTTTAGAGTCCTACTTTTGTATTTTCAGCTTTTTCTGTCAGTTAACCTAGCCTCCAGGATTTGTTCTAAAACTCTACAGATGACAGTATTTGTGATTTTTTTTCTGTTAATCGTATTGAGAAAAGAATTGTCTTAGTTAAATACGGTATTTAGTTAAATACCAAATATTTAACTAAACTTAAGTTTGGTGTATATTTAAATACTAAATACTTTGAATATTTAATGTTTCATTTATCTATTTAAAGATTTTATTTTTAAGTAATCTTTACACCAAACATGGGCCTGGAACTCACAACCCCCAGATCAAGAGTCGCATGCTCCACTGACTGAGCCAGCCAGGTGCCCCTTAAATATTAAATATTTTAAATGAAGTATTTAAATACTAAAATTAATATCTGGTACTTAGTTAAATAAAATGAAAGTAGCTCCCTACCTCAGACCCAGAGTAAATTTCGACTTTTAAGGGATTAAAATGAAACGATAAGAAGAAATATACAGGAATATTTATCTAGTTCATAGGGTCACAGAGGCCTTTCCAGGTCTATCAGGGGAAGTGGAATTTTTTTTTTAAGATTTTATTTATTTAGAAAAAGTATGTGCACACACGTGAGCCAGGAGAGGGGCAGAGAGAAAGGAAGAGAATCTTGAGCAGGCTCCCCGCCGAGCGCAGAGCCCTACGTGGGGCTGGATCCCATGACCCTGAGATCATAAGTTGAGCCAAAATCAAGTGTTGGACATTTAACCGACTGAGCCACCCAGGTGCCCCAGAAGTGGAATTCTCAAATGAATAAACTGGCTACATAAAAACAAAAATCTTAAATATGTTGAAAATTACCTTGATTATTATGTCTCTTTCTAATTATTCTGCTTTTTCTTCCCTCTCTTCAGAAACTCTACCTGCTGCTCCGGGGCTCCTGTTTAAACTGTCACATGCTGACCTGCCCCCGGGCTGTGATTCACCTCTTAGTCTGCCAGCTGCGAGTTCTGGAAGTGGGTGCCCTACAAGCAGTCTACGAGCTTGAGAGAATTCTGAACAGGGTAGGTGGGTGGTGGCTGTCATGGAAATCAGGCGAGCCAAAGCAGTAGGAACAGACCTGTTTGTGTGTTGTCCCTAGACTTGTCATCCTAATAGTCACCAGTTTGATCTTTACGTCTTACAACTACATACCAATAGCTAGGTGTGAAAACCTGTAGCCCTAAGAGAAATTGAAGAAATGTTAGCGAAAACAACATTGAAGTACCATTTTACCTATCAGTGAGGTTTTTTTCTGGACCTGGGAGCCAGTGGAGGCTTATGCATTGCTTTGGATAGTTACATTTCTTTGGTCTGTTTTAGTGCAGAAAATTGTTTTTCATGGTATTGACATTTTTTGAAGACTCAAAGCCAGTTGTCTTGTAGGACTTCTCACGTTCGGTTTTTGTCTGATTATTTCCTCACTAGATTCACATTTTGGTAGGAATACAGCCTGTACCGTGTGAGGGACATTGTACCGTGTCGTTTCAGGAGGCACATGCTGCCAGGTGGTTTTATTATTGGTAATGCTGAGTTTGATTCCTTGGATAAGATGGGGACCACCAGATCTATCATAGAGACATTTTTCTCTTTGCGATACAAAATTCCTTCAGATTTTCTGGTGCTAGTATCAAGTATCTTATGTAAAATTCATTTTATGTTTGTAGATCAAAATATTAGTGGTTTTTGTGTATTGAATTTTGTCTGAAACAACCTAGCAAAAATATCATTAATTCTAATGCTTTACCTGTAGATTCTTGTTGATTT